TTTCTTTATCACAGGTATACCAGTTAATGATTTTTCGTGGTATTAATCTAATTTAACGGAAACTAACATATGGTAAATTTGTTATAAATGTACCAGTTTTGGATTTTTGGTGGTCAAAAAACTAGTTTAGCGTATATTTGTCACAAGTGTACCAGTTTTGGATTTTTTTATGATTAAAAATTAGCATGGGATAAATTTGTCACAGATATATCAGTTTGAGGTTTTTTACGATATTAATCCTATTTTTTTAGCAACAATAAAGGTTTTTAAATGAATTTTCAATTATCAGAATGTAATGGAATATACAAAAAACATGTATAGTTTGAATTTCAACTTTAGAGACAAAAAGCTAGAAGGATGCTACGCTGTTAAGGTTAGTGGAGATCTTTCAAATCAATCTTATTAGATGGATAATCATGAGTGAGAGAAGATTGTCACCATCTTTTTTCTTATAGAGAGAAAGAGATAATATTTTCTTTTATAGGGAGTGTTGATTAATCTTCGATCTTAAATATTGTTTTGTAATAAACTTACTTAAAGAAAAAAAAATTTGATTGATTGATAATTACTTCATAGACAGTTGTTTTCCTAAAATGAAAAATTCCACTTATGGAAATTCGAGATTTATTTGTATGAGTGACCAAATCAACGGGGACTCAGATCTTATCTCTCGATGGCTACTCAATCTTTTTTATATAATGTCATTTAATAGATTGATTGGAGAGTGATCCTCTGAAAATTGTCCAACGGTTAGTTTTAGAGGTGGAGGAATATAAAAGGAGACCAAAATGCCAAAGAGAATAGAGAGGTCCAAAATAAAAAATTCCAAAGTTTGAGAGTACTTAGGTATTACATACTTATCTTCCATGAGCTTACAATTGTAATTATTTGAGAGATGTGAACAGTGTCATAAGTGTGTGTTTCAGTGTGAGATAGTGGGATCCATCGGCTTGGATATAACCAACACCAGCTTTGAGTAGAAGCGCTTGAATATAAGTGGCACAATTTTAATGTAATCTCTCATTGATTATCTAGTGAAATCCGCCAGTAAGCTATCGGCGCGAAAGAGTTGATGTAGGCTTGATCTAAGCCAAACCACCATAAATTCTGTGTGCAAATTCTCTCATCCTAAAACTCTTACTAATTATTTTTATGTATCTTTGTGCATTGATAAATCGCATTAAACTCTTGTTAATATTGAGACTCTGACCTTTACGCATTAGTCAATATCATCAAACTACTATTGTTGTTCAGACTTTAATTTTTACTACTTTACTTCCACTTTAAATTTTTTAAGATTAGTTAAAATCACCTATTCACCCCCCTCTATGTGATATTGTTAGCTCCATCAATTTTGTTACCAATTTTGCCACTGTTAATTTCGCTTAGAGACGATGTCAGTCTGCTTCGCGAATTGCCCCTAAAATCTTGTTCACAAAAATCATTAACTTATTTACTGTGACACAAGTACCCCCAATTTTTTTTGTGTCACGAAAAAATCCAAATTCATACATGTGTGACATATATACGATATATATTTGTCACACTGGTATAAAGTCGGGGTTTTTTTTATGACAAAAAAATTGAGGTGTTTGTTTCATAGTGAGCATAGTTTTGAATTTTTTGTGGTATTAACCCTTGATATGGTTGAAACATGTTACCTTTTGAGAATTTCCAAATATAGGATTTTGTTTCGGCTCAAACCAAGTGTTTATAAAGCCTAAATCGGCTTTGTCTTGATTTAAATACCCTAGATTCAAAATCTTTAATTTCATTGATTTCCTGTTACTTTTGAATTAATAAGAAAAGGGAAAATTTCAAATAAGGGGCCGAAGGGAAAATTCTTCTACTCCATGATGCTTCGAACTGCAAAAGAATTCTTCAACAAGAGGCTTCACAAAAAATGGTTGGTTTCAGTTTGCTTCGGACAGCAAACGAATTATTCAATTCAAGTTAGAAACTGAATTGGTTCAAAGCAAATACCAAAATTAATTTGATTTGACCTCGGTTGCAATTGTATTATAAAGCCCAGTGTTAAACACACGCTTCTCTTTCCTTCAAAGTTTTCCTTTCGAACCTCTTTTCGCCTTATTTTCTAGAGAAGCTGTTACTGCTATCAAGCTGAGAAGCTTAGAGAAGTGACAAGAGAGGCCAAGGAGAGGCTGATGAGAAGCTCGGGACACTGAGAGGAGAGGATTCAAGCCAGAAGAACCCTAACTTATTTAATTTGGATCAAAACAGAATTTTTTAGACAAAATCAATGTGGGATCTTTCTGATATGGTTAAGAGAAAAATCTGTAGAGAGAATTCAAGAGCGGAGAGGATTGAAGAACAACGCGGGAAACAAAGAAAATCCACGAAGAGAAGAAAAACTCAATTTGGGATATTTCATTCTTAGGATTTACCCTTTTTTTTTACCTAGTTACAATTTTTGGACAAAATTGCCCATGCTCTAATAGCCAGAATAAGTCAAATGGCGAAAATTTGGCTGTCCGGCAAATTGGAGCCCTTATTTAAGATAAAGTTGGCAACTCCATACCTTTATTTAAGACACAATCCGCTCTATGCACTTATGTGAGAAAATGGCTCCACTCAGGATCTTATAGGATAAAAGAGCCGTAGAATTCAATTTGGGATCTTTCGTTCTTAGGATTTACCTTTTTTTTAACCTAGTTACAATTTTTGGACAAAATTGCCCATGCTCTAAAAGCCAGAATAAGTCGACTGGCGAAAATTTGGCTGGCCGTCGAGTTGGTGCGCTTATTTGACAGAAAGTTGGCAACTTTAGACCCTTCCTTGTAACAAGGTCCACTTTGAGCCATTACTTGAAAAAAGAGCTCTAGCATGCCTTTATTTGAAATTTTCCCATAACAAAATGATTTGGAACGCTATAGACTTGAAACGGGTTCTTTTAATCTATAACCTTTCGGAAACAAACTTAATATTGGTTGAATTAAAAAATGTTTTAAAACCATTATAGCCAATGAACTTCGAATGTTCATGTATCTGCCGGCCTACATCTTTTGTTTCGAATGATTAGTAAGTGGTCTATTCAACAACAATAAGTTCAGTTCGGGGCCATTTGAGCTTAGGATTAAAGTCGGACTCTTTGGGCCTACAAACCACAGTTCTTGCAAGTGTGATTTACGCACAACTTGGCATTCCCTCGTCTGATTTCTGAATTTTAAAAAAAAAAATGAACTTTCTCAAGTTTTGATTATCTGATTTGCTCGTTGAGGACCTTCAACATATTGGAATTGGCTCCGTTCGGATCTTGATGGGTTCAACTTTCGAATGAACAAAAACTTTGGACAGATTTGGATTAGAACCATTTATGGCCATCTTTAAACCGTACTTAACTGAATTCACGGGAACCTATATGCCTTATAGAGGTGAGCATAGTTCCAAGGTAAAACTTAAAATCTGAGAAACTGACCGATAGGAACCTGTAGGTTCCAGGTTCCAAGGTATGCAAGGTAGATTCCAGATTAAACCTGTTTCGACGAGTAAGTTCCAGGTTCTAGGTAGGTGGAACCTGAAACCTAAAACAAATATTTTGTGTTTTTTCTTGGTCTATGTATTCGTGTGATCCTACGGTGTTCCATGGCGTTAAATGATGAGTGTATAATCTGGAACTACTAGTTTAAACTTTCATTTTATGACTTGTTATTGTTTCATATTCTTCGTGTGTTTAAATATAAGTTGTGGTCAGTGGATCATAGCAGCAATTGGTGGTCATTAAAGGTGATTCACTACAATTGTTCAATTAATAATACAGGTAAAACTTGAGTAAATCGTGGAACCAACCGTAAAACTAGTAACAGGATAGGTTTCAGGTTTCAAGGTATATAATATAGGTTCCAGATTCCAAAAATTGAGGAACATGTTTTCATGAATAGGTTCCAGGTGGAAGCTGTATGGAACTCGGAACCGCCCATCACTAATGCCTTAAGCACTTGTGATTGCCTAAAGTGAATTGTCGCAGCGTACTGACTTGAAGGCCTCATGTTTAACTTGATTTATATGAGTTCAAATTTCCTATTTGTTCAGACATTGGGGTATCTGAGTTCTAATTTCAAAGGAGGGACACATATTGAATTTGCGGGCCGGAGTCATACAGCTCGGTCTCTTGTGCACATTCGAATCATATGAACTATCAATTCTAGGGGGATTACTGGACGCTTTGTAGCAGCATTACTCTTTACGAGTCTAAGTCTTGGCCAAGTACTTATGTGGACTAACATCACCTCCAAGTTAGTAAGGTTATAAAGATTCTGACTTCTGAAGTTGTGATTGTAAACTTTGGTCAATGAACCTTTTGAAAAGTGAGCATTGATTTCCACACGATTGAAATTAGGAAATTGACTTTCTCATATTTGAATTACTCATTGAAAGTTCGAACTTAAAATGTTATTGATCTTTGAGGAATCTAATTGCTTGGTTTACTAATATTGAACTTTCGTTGAAGGTTTGCCTAGATTTCTCTTTGCGAGTTAGATGTCCTAATGTTGAATTTTAACTTCAATTCGATTTAATATTAGGAGGGATTCCCAGTCTCTAAAATATTAGGGGGGATTCCTAGTCTCTAAGGGGTGTGGTCAATTCACTGAGTGTGCCACTCATCCCGTCATCTTTATCTTTTAATTTTTTGCACAAACCATTTCGGGTTGATGACGTCGTGGTGACGGCTACCGGAGCCTCAAGTTACACCGGGTTACGAGATGCTTATGAATCCCAATATAGCGCGCTTGTCTTTCCAATTGAAAGCGAAAATCGAAGTTGCAACAATATGCGTGTCGGAATAGATTTGGAGTCTTACTTGGCTTAAAATGCATCATATGTGTGGATTCATCACAAGCCATGCCAAATTAGAGGATGATGGTCCCAAGAACCCTCGTTTGGTCGGTCCACAAATTTGCTTCCTCGACCATTAGTGTGAAAGGATAACGTGGGTTACATAAGGCCAACATAAACATGGACTCTTTTGTTGCATTCACAGTTCAGATGGTTTGCTGTCCAAGCATAGCCATGAAAGCCACTGAACACACTGCAAGAGATGTGGAGCAGGACGAATCCATGTCTTGTTACCACAATCTCTCGTTACTCCCATTTCTTTCATGGTTGCCCCACCAAGCCATTCGCATTCTTTGGCCTTTACTTATTCCCTTTGCTTCCACCTGCACCACACCCTCCCCCGTTCAATCCGCGCATAAAAAGATATTCCACGCAATCCACCTCTCTCTCTCTCTCTCTCTCTCTCTCACACACACACACACACACACAGGACATGGCTGACACCACTTACTCATCAATATGTCTGGTGAGCATAATGGATCGCCTTTGGTTCCACCAGATCATCTTCTTCTCTGAGCCCATTTCGTTGCTCTGTGGCTCCAAAATCCTGGATCCACAGGAACCCAACTCGCGCACTGTGATTCGATGTCAACCTTCAAGCATGCCTGAGTTGCCACCTCCAGATACAGAGACTCATTCAATGGCTGAAGAATCGCCACTTGCAGGCTATAGTTGCTCATCATTGGATACGTCGTATTCTTCAATGGTAAATTCAATAGTTCTATTGTCTAACTCTCCCTCACCTGGTTCTTGACCAGAGTTTGTGGCTCATCAAAGCAAGAACACTAGCGTTGAGTTTGGCTCTCATTTGTAAAAAGTGTGATCTGAACAAGCTGTCTAGCTGGTGTCCAAGCTGAAATACCTATGAATTCAAAAAAGTTGACTCTACATGTGTTGAAAAAACACATTTGTTTTTCATCTATTTTCTGGAAACTAAATTAATTACATCGTGCAAGCTATATGTGTGAAATAAACTTTTAAGACAAGTTACGATTTTGGTTTTCTAACTTGGGAGTACTCTTCATTTTGGTCCCTGAACTTCCACTGTCATCATTCAACTCCGGCTGGTGTGGTTTGCTTCCATTTTCGCCCTTCTAATGACATTGTGACCAACTTATTAATCTCTTCATGCTGCCCTTGCTAGGATGATACCAACAAAAGTGAAGAAGCAGAGGAGGAAATCAGATCAACCAGGATGACTAATCTCATCGCAAGCAGAGCACGGCGTTCGTATTGCTCATCGCCATCAACTCAGAAGAGGCCAAGAAAGGGATCCTCTGAAGCCAAGAAACTGCTCAAATCCATGAGTTGCAGCACCTTCGACGAGCTGGAAATGAAGGAAGTGAAAGGGTTCATGGACCTGGGCTTCATCTTCAAGAAGGAGCACTTGAACCCGCGAATGATGAGCGTCATCCCCGGTCTACAGAGGCTCGGACAGGACACTAGCATCAGGAAAACCGCCGAGGGCGACGAGGAGGGAAAGAGAGAGATCACGAGGCCGTACTTATCAGAAGCGTGGCTCATAAAGAGACCCGATTCGCCTCTGCTGAACTTGAGGGTGCCCCGGGCGTATGCGGCTTCCGACATGAAGAAGCACCTGAGGTGCTGGGCTAGGACAGTTGCTTCTGAGATTCAGCAGGAGTCTTGATCTTGGGAAGAAGAAGAAGAAAAACCAACAACTTCACTCATACACTATCGTTAAGATTAGCATGAAATTATCAGTCCAGCTATCAAAAAGAGTGTAGGGAGAGAGAGTTTTGAGTATTTCCACAGGTTTTGTTGCGCCGACGGATGGAACTGTAAAAAGGGCAGATGGTGGGGTTTGTGGATATGTTTGTGTGGATGAGACTTTGAATGAAAGCAAGTGCAAATGGACCTTTTTGTCGTTTTATTGTCATTTGCTGGATTCCGAGCAGAGACAAAAGGATCTCAAAGTGCTCGTTGAATTCTATGTCACAATAAAGCATAGGATAACAAGGGGGAGCAGGACAAATTCGGTGAGAAGTGACGTGTGGATAAATTATTGAGATAAAAGGAACCATTTGATTCCTCATCTTTTGTCAAATGTTGCAACTAGTTGTTGATTAACATCGATCTAATTGTTAAACGACATAATTTCTAATCCATATTAATCTTCATGTTAAAATGTGTAAATGCAAATAATGGTGTGGATCGCCACACGAACACCGTGTCTTCTGTTGTTAGAATAACTAATCATGACCCACATTTTAGGTAATGATAATTACATGCATCAAAGAAAACCAAAAACCCACAAAGGGAGTGGATGAAATTAGGCAAAGTCACTGTTTGTGTACACAACACAAAAAGTGCAGACAGTGCAGCCACAGCGGCGATGGCTACTCCCGAGACCCACAGTGGACATCAAACCCTCATCGAAGGCCAGGCGGAGTGCCGCTGTCGCCATAGTCCCCTTCTCACCTTCTCTTTCTAGTTTATTTTGTTAGAATATTTAAATATTATAATAATTGGCACTGCGGGGTTTACTCCCCCGGCTGTCGGCCGTGTGGGAGTTCCCTGGATTATCAAAAAAATAAAATAAATAATAATAATAATAATAATAATTGGCACTGCTTTCACAAAATTTCACATACGTTGATTTTTTATTTTAATTTACATTTTTTTAGCAAAAGAAGTACTCTTTGTAAAAGTTTCTGAATTTTCCCACGCGAGCAACAATGGAGGCCGGGTTGTGTCTCTATTAGGGGTGAGCGGTTCCCGGTCCGGTTAGAGTGAGCGGTTCCCGGTCCGGTAAGAATCGGGAACCGGACCGGGAGGACCGGTTCCCATTTTTTAGGACCAAGGACCAAACCGGCTAGTCCTAGGACCGTGGACCGGACCGGACCATCGGTCAAGTCCGGTTCCAATGGAACCCATCATGCACTTTTAAATTATGCTTTCTATTTTAAATAAATAAATGTATTTATTTTTCAATTTTCAAATGGAACCAATCACGTTCCAATGGAACCAATCCTTAAAAAAATTGGTAAAGGCAAGAGGGAATAGATTACGATTTCTTTTTTTCTTCAAAAAATTTAAAAAATAAATAAATATTTATCGGTCCGGTCCGGTCTGGTTCCCACCCTAGAACCAGGAACCGGACCGCCCGGAAATCGGTTCCACTTTTAGAAACGGGGAACCGGACCGATATTCTCGAGAACCGGACCAAACCGGCCGGTCCGGTCCCGGTTCGGGCGGTCCATCACGCTCACCCCTAGTCTCTATGGCCATAGCCTCTCTTCCCACCTTGTCTTTCTAGTTTACTTTTTCTTTTCCTTTGTATTGCAAAAATTCAATCTTTATAAAATTTTCTAAATTCATCTAGCTCCGAAGTCAAAGACTGCTTCACTCTAGTCGGGCGATGGACCTTGGAGGCCTAATTCTCAACTTTAACTTGAATCTCAATTTTGGCTCGGACTGTTTTTACACTACAAAAAAATATGGATTTTACCACGGAAATTTGCGACGGGAATTTTTCGTCGCTAATTTGCGACGGAATTTTTTTTCCGTAGCAAATTACAGACGAAAATTATTCGTCGCTAATTTGTGACGGAATTTGCCACGAAATAAAAATTCGTAGCAAATTTGCGACGGAAAAAACGACGGATCTATTTTCCGTCGCAAAATCCGTCTCAAATTTGCGACGGATCTATTTTCCGTCGCAAATTTGCGACGGATTCCAAAAATTGTATTGCATTTTCCAAAAATTTGCGACGGAAAAAAGAATCCGTCGCAAATTTGCGACGGAAACAAAATATGTTCGTCGCGACGGAATATAAAATTCGTCGCAAATTTAATTAAAAAAAGAGCGCCCCAAAGCCCCGCCTCACCCCCATTTTCTCTCTCTCTCTCTCTCTCTCGCTCGCTGTTCTCCCTCTCTCACCCTCTCCTCCTTCTCCTTCTCGCTTCTGCTTCTTCCCTCTCCCCCACACCCCCAAACCTCTCGCGCTCGCTAAGGGTTTTCGGTACCCCCTTCCCCCCGCGACTCCTCGGCCATGGCCTCCGGAGCCCTAGAGGCCGCGGAGCCCAAAGGGGCGGCGGCTCCTCCCCCCGTCGAGGGCAAGGAGGTGGTGGTCGGCGGCGACGGATCGGAAGCAGAGGATCAACATCGACGACGTGCTCTCGGCCTCCGGTACGCGCTCGCGGTCTTCCACCAGATGCGCCGACCCAATTGCTTTTCTTGGAACTCCATCATTATGGCTCTTGACGAGAGCGACGACGACACCACAAAGTTGGAAGCTCTGGCCCTGTTCCGCGAGATGGTCCGGGGTGGCCACGTGGAGCCCAACGGGTTCACGTTCCCTCCGGTGTTGAAGGCTTGTGCGAGGTTGGGGATGGTGAAGGAAGGGAGGCAGGTTCATGGGATGGTTGCTAAGTGTGGTCTGGATGGTGACGAGTTTGTTCTTAGTAACCTTGTCAGAATGTATGTGCTCTGCGGTGTCATGGAGGATGCTTACGTTTTGTTTGATGAGAGAATTGTTCGGAGTGGTGGAGTGGGGAAGAAGATGAATCTCAGGAGGCAAGAGGGGGACGTGGTTTTGTGGAATGTGATGGTCGATGGGTATGTTAGAATGGGGGATCTTAGAGCTGCTCGGGAGCTGTTCGATAAAATGCCTCAGAGAAGTGTTGTGTCGTGGAATGGGTGACTTTGGGTGTGTTTTTGAGATTGGCCCTGTTTTTAGGGCAGAAAACTCCTTCACACATAGGCATTTGTGTGAATTTACTGGCCTTGATGTTGAAATGGAGATTAAGAAGCACTATTGTGAGGTTGGATTGTATACTTTTTCATTTAACTGAATTTTCAGTTTAGCTTAACGAACTAAACGTTTATGTGCAGGTAATGGACATTGTGGACAAGTTGTTCGTTACAATGTTCGACTCATTGAATGCGAGTTGCAAGAAAGAACTTGAAGCTATTGGAAGACAATACCCCTTTGAACCTTTAAAGGTTATACTATGATCTTTTTTTTTTTTCTTTTTTGCAATCTGATTACATAAATAGTGCAACTCATGGGCAGTAACTTTTAATTGCAGTACTTGAGAAAGACCTTGTGGCTTACTTTCAAGAAGATGTTCAAATGCTCAAGGTGAGGAAAAAATTTTCGGCAGCTAAATAGCTGCCCATAAAAAAAAAGGGAACAAATAGAGTAGCAACATATCGGTTCATTGGCACTTCTATATCATGGCTGTAAAAGTAGGACAATGAGTTCTCTTCTCTTGCTGATTTTTTGTTTGTTGCTTTTAAATGAAACTGATTGTTTGTGGTAGCACTCCTCTTACCTGATGATTTGTTCTGTTGGAAGAGGAACCGCAAGAAAGTGATATTTACAACTATATGCCGTGCACGTGTACATTAGGGGCTGATTTGTTCTTGGCTTTTGTTGCTTTAGCTTGATTTTGTTGTTTGATCTGATTCAGGGCTGATTTTGTTGGCTGTTTTGATATTCGCGAAAATGGAGGATCTCGTGGCTTTGTTTGAGCCCATTGCATTGTCTCCGTCGGAGTCTTCGATAATATTGCTACTCCTGGTTTTCTCATGTTTGCTTTAAGCTGGTTTGGTTTTGTTGTCTCTGTTTTTTCTCTCTTTTGACTGTTCTCCTTTCGGCTCTACTATAGCTCATAGCATCTGAATATATTTTACTCGTATTCTTGCAATGCAAAGGAAAAGAGGCAATAGATTCTAAGAAGCAAATGTGATTTGGTATGTTAACCTATATTGGCATATTGTATTGGGCTACATAGCTTAGCTGGGTCAAAGCTGATGTGATTGGTTCCATCTTTTTCCTCTCCTTGCTTTTAGTCGTGGGGCTTGGGTTTTTGAGGATGGGAATGAATGGGGCAATCAAGAGTCCAAAACCCCTCTTTTGTCTTCTGGTCTTGGGGGTTGCACCAGGTGTTATTTGCTTTTTTAGAAAATACCCTGTGGGAGAATTATGGCTTCATTCAAAATGATTGATTATTTGAATGCAGTGATACCTGCTTAGAATCATGCATTTGTGGAAAGTCATGTGTATTGTTCTTTGCACGTTGCGGGTGCTGGAAGCACTCCACTTCATTATGCTGCTTGTGGTGGAAGTGTGCAGTGTTGTCAGGTATTTTGTGGTAGCTAAAAGATAAATAGCATCCGATATCATTCTTTATTTTGTTCATCTCACTTACATAAATATTTTTTTGTGGTGGAAGTGTGCAGTTGTGGACAGTGAACCAATTTGGAACACCTACGTTGCACCTTTGTTTCTTTACTTCTATTAGATTTATCACTGAAAGTGAACTTCAACATTTTTCCTCTATATTTCATTTACCTTCGTTGCTTTACTTAATTAAGATTGCTTGCTTCACAGTCATTATGTATCCTTTAGAAGCTGAATATATTAACATTTAATGTGGACACAATGTCACTAATTTTGTGTCTAATTCCAGACAATTTGTGTTTTGTAGAAGAATAGCTTTGAGCAATTCTGCATAAGTTATGCAAATGAGAGGTTGCAACAACATTTCAACCGGCATTTGTTAAAACTGGAGCAGGAAGTGAGCATCTCACATGGACCATGTCTTTAGTTTTGTTTAGTATTTTATATGATGGGGATTGTCGCTAAAAGCAGGATATTGTTTTTTGATTCAAATCTGTCATCATTATTTATTGTGAAAGATTATTGTGCAAGATTATTTATTCTCTCATTATGTGTACTATAAAAAAAATATTTATGTCAATTCTTGTGGAAAATGTAGATGAATGTATTTCATTTTCATATTATTATAATATTTTGATGTTATTAATTGCTTAATCAATGTTAAATATAAATTCCAAAAATTAATTTTGCTTTTAATTAGGTTTAAAATCAAAAAATAAAATAAATTATTTTATCGTACGATCACAAATTACAAAAGTTCGTTGCAAAAATAAAATTTCGTTGCTAATTTTGTCCCTAAACGATAATCATCGCAGAGTTCGTCGCTAAAGAATTAATAAAAAATCGTCGCTAAATTCGATCATAAATAATGTTGATGGCAAATGTAAAAAAATTTGGTGACAAATTAGCGACGAATTTTGCCATGAATAAGTTCGCTGCAAATTACTGACCAAATTTTTTTTTTTGACAAATTAGCGACGAATTTTGCGACTAATATAGTTCGCGGCAAATTAGCGACGAATAATTAGCGACGAAATTTGCGACGAAATTTGCGACTAAATTTGTGACGAAATTTGCGTCGATATTTGCGACGAATTTTGCGATTACATTTGCAATGAAATTTGCGACGAATTTTGCGACGAATTATTTGCAACGAATTTTGCGACGATTTTTGCGACGGATTTTGCGACGAATTTTGCGACGAAATTTGCGACGATTTTTGCGACGAATTTTGCTACGAATTATTTGCGACGAAATATTTGCGACGAACTTTGCGACGGATAGTGTTCGTGGCTAATTTGCGACGAATTATCTACGACGAATTTTGCGACGAATTTTTTTTCCGTCGCAAATTTGCGACGAAAATTAATATTTTCCATCGCAAAAATTTGCGACGACCTAGTAGCGACGGAAAATCCGTCGCTAAATTCGTCGCAAAAATGATTTGCGACGGATTTTTGCGATTTTTTCGTCGCAAAAAACATGTTTTTTTGTAGTGTTATCTCATAAAAATGCACTAAATTTAGATCGGTTCTTAATTATGGCCTAAATTAAAAGCAAAAACTTTAACTCGTCGTGTCCAAATTCTAACTTTGTGCTGTCTCTTAGCGTCAACTTTGAGTTGACACCCAAATCTGGCCCCCACCAAGTTTCTGTCAAGTTTCGCCAAATACACGTCGAATGACACGTTGAATCTTTAACCGCATCATTGGACTAAAACTTGATGAGGGCCAGATTTGGGTACCAACACAAAGTTGGTATTTTTTTGTGAGATAAAAAAATGTTGAGACCGGAATTGAGATACGAGCTAAAATCCATTATTTTTAATGATACAACAAAAAATTGTGCCAGAAATGAGAATCAAGCTAAAGTTGGTATTTTTTTTAGGTCAAAATTGAGATTCAACGTAAAGTTTCTAATTTTACGTTGAACCTTGGACCCTAGTTGTTTACGAGGTGACATCAGTACCGTAGCCTTCCAACCTACACTTTCGGAATGGTTTTCTCTTTATATTTTCTCTTTCCCGAAATTCCTCTGTCTTAATTTTTGAGAGTTTTTCATTCCTTCTTTTGAAAATTTATAGGGTTTTTCATAGCTAAGTAGGAGGCTAGTGTGACATTTAACAGCGGCTTAATGGTCACGCCAAGTAGTATCATGAACTCTTTTATAGCAATGACCAATTCGAATGAAACATTATTCAGTTGAGGGATCTAATAAGGAAAAAGAAAATCAATGGCTAGATTGAACATCCGACAAAAGTTTAGAAATAAAATTTCAAGGGTCAGTTTACCTCAATACTCTAAAGAACCAAGCATGCGATGGTAAGGGGAAGCAATAGAGACGCCATCTTATGTCCGGTCATTAAGATGCATACATCAAACCTATTTACGATCGGCAGTCAATCCACAATTATTACTTGCAACAATGATCTACGAATAATAAATTGAAAAGCCAAAACCATCAATAGGAAAAGAAGATGCATCAGGAAACGATGTCGTATACCAAAACATAGTGCGATAAGGCAATAACCTTTCTTAAGTGAGATGCGTTAAAATAAAGAGTTTGAGTTAGCTGCAGTCCTAGTAGACGCTAATGACCGCTGCTCCCTTGGTTGCACTCATTTATTGGCCATTACGATTGTACATCTCTATGGTCCCCCGACATCATATAGTTCCTCGCGACAAATAGAATCCTCGTATTGACTCAACCTTCACCCTCTCGCCTCCTCTCTACAAATCGGAGCTAGCCCAGCCTCGCTCGTGGCCGCCGCCACCTTCCATTGGCACCTCACGGCCACCTCCACTCGCCGTTGTGGCCTTAGCCCCACCACGACCCGCTACCCACCACCAGTTACTTGCCTCCCTAATATCGTCGAAGGTCCACGACCTTACAAATCGAGGCGCGTCTGATGTCATCAGCCTCAAGATCACAGCCCATATACAAAGGCAATCGTATGGCAAGTTGGCAACCAAGAGAGAGAGGCATTTGAGGCTCATTAGTGATCGGGGTGGTCATTGAGGTGGTCGCGAGCGGATGGTAGGGGATGCGACGCTTTTGAGTGGTGGTGGGCTACCAAGTTGCTATGAGAGACAAAGAGTGTCATGCGCGCACTTGAGAGAGAGCTACCGTTGGCGTTTGGAAAGAGGGAATGGGGGGGGGAAAGAAAGGCCTAATTCCCTATAAAGAAACCCAACCTTTAGGCCTAATCACAATTATATCCCAAACTTTTTTTTGTCTACAAAAAATTCACCAACTTTCAGTATAGTCCCAAATCTGCCCTCGCGTCAAACAATCACCACTAATTTCTTCAAAATTATCAACATCATGGCCAATTAAAGATTCATTATCATAACATGTGTCTTCACCAACATCCTCACTTTTGCATGGAACAACAATAGCTTCCCGATATTGATAATTTTGAAGAAATCAGTGGCTATTTTTGGACTTGGGGCAAATTTGGGACTAGAGTGAAAGTTGGTGATTTTTTTTCTAGACAAAAAAAAAATTTTGAGGTAGAAGTAGGATTGAACCTGAAGTTAGGGATTTATTACAAATACCTAATTTTGTTTTTGTCTTTAAGATGAATAATTCAATGTGTGTCTCATGGATCCAAGCTTACGGGCCAGAAGATGGGCCAAATCTAATGTAATCTTGGGCTTGTTTGCAACCAAATAAGTTTCAGCCGATCGAGCCGGTCCACGAGGCGTAATCATTAGAATTGTCTTAAAGGCACAAATTCTATTAAAGGTCCGCCTGTTAATATTTCATTTTCCTCTACCAAATCTAAGTTTCTTCCTAGCAGGTTAGAGATGAGGGAAGACGAAATTTGAAAATTGGGTAGAAGAATTTGAATTTTTCTTTTTAGAGATCAGATTTAATTTTAAGTTTTGAAAAGTTATGAAGAATATATATCCGCAATTCTACGGGATGTTTCAATGTTTCGAAATATTTCAAGCGTTTCGAATCGATTCAAAGTTTAAAATGTGAGTTTATTGCAACATTTACAAAAAGAAAAAAAATCAAAAGATTAGAAGTAAAAAGTCACAGTGTCTCCTCTAATGTTATCTATACAACTACTAATTAGAGTATGAGTAGGAAAACACCATATACTTCTTCCATATAAAGTTACTTCTAGTTCCTGTGATTCAAAGCCTGCAAGAACGCCTGACCCCTCAAAAAATCTCTCAGGAGAAGAAGAGTTCTTCCCAGAACGTGCCTTCTCCATGTAAGTCACCAAGAACTTCACCTCTCTCTCTCTCGAACTCTCTCAATCGGTCGAGTTGTTGTTGTTGTTGTTGTTGTTGGAGCTGCATGATTGGGCCCAATTCCAAAAAAAACCTTCAACTTTACACTTTGTCCCAAATATACCCTAAACTTTTTTTTGTCTCAAGAAAAACCACCAACTTTTATCTAAGTCCCAAATCTGCCCTCCCGTTAAAAATCCGTCCAATTAACGTCAAGAAAAAAAAAAAAAAAAAAAAAAAAAAAACAGAGAACCGGCACCGGCAGCTGCGGCGGTGGCCAAGCCTTCGCCGGTGGCCGCCGCCACAGCCCGCCGGGAAGGAGCGGCGGCCCTCGCCCGGGCCTTCCCGGGGCGGCGACCCTCGCCGCCCAGGGCGAGCCGCCGGCGAGGCGCGCGCGCCCTCAAACCACCGGGCCGGCGAGCCGCCGGCGAGGCGCGCAACCCCCGATCTCAGGGCGAGGGTCGGCGAGGGCGCGCGGCCCCGATCCCAGGGCGAGGTCGGCGAGGCGCGACCCTCGCCCCGGATCGGGCGCGCGCCCTCGCGGCGGCTCGCCGGGGCGGCGAGGGTCGGCGGCCCTCGCCCGGGCCTTCTCGAAGGCCGGCGACCCTCGCCGGCCCCGGGCGAGCCGCCGGCGAGGGCGCGCGGCCCGATCCCAGGGGCGAGGGTCGGCGGGCGCGCGGCCCCGATCTGGGGCGAGGCCGCGCCTCGCCCGATCGGGGCGCGCGCCCTCGCGGCGGCTCGCCCGGGGCCGGCGAGGGTCGGCGGCCCTCGCCTGGGCCTTCTCGAGGCCGGCGACCCTCCCGGCCCGGGCGAGCCGCCGGCGCGCGCGACCCCGATCTGGGGGAGGCGCGACCTCGCCCCGATCGGGGCCGCGCGCCTCGCCGGCGGCTCGCCCGGGCGGCGAGTCGCCGGCCTTGGGAAGGCCCGGGCGAAGGCCGCCGCTCCTTCCTGGTGGCTGTGGCGGCGGCCACCGGCGAAGGCTTGGCCACCGCCGCAGCCTGCCGGCCTTCGGTTCTACTTCTTTTTTTTTTTTTTTTTTTTTTTTTTTTTTCTTGACGTTAATTGGACGGATTTTTAACGGGAGGGCAGATTTGGGACTTAGATAAAAGTTGGTGGTTTTTTTTGAGACAAAAAAAAGTTTAGGGTATATTTGGGACAAAGTGTAAAGTTGAAGGTTTTTTTTGGAATTGGGCCTGCATGATTGTGTGGGAAGATGGACATGGTATTTAGGGCCAAAACCAATATGACTAATTGGGTGAGCAGCAATTTCGTTGGCTGAGATTCTGAGTTGACTTTCTTCGGAAGCATAATAAGCTCCATTAAGTTGCGATCATGGAGGCTGACATAGTGCTCCACATTGAAACAGTAAATCCCAGTATCGGAAAATTACAGCCAAAATCGTCATGTGGCATGATGGATGGAATTCAAAGTTGCCAAATCCTTCGTTATCCTTTTCTTGTGACTCGATGTTACCCCTAGTTCTCTCGTACGAACTCATACCGAGTGATGAGACAAATTGTTATTTGGATGTTCAATCTTTTTCTGGAATACTTCCATGTCTCATGAGAAGAAATATATAACTTGAGAGGTCAGTTTAAGTTTAAAAACTTACATCTAATAATAGTTGCATCGATGGGTGACAATACTAGTGATAATAATAACGGAAAATAGTACGTTTGAAAGTTGCTGTTGTTATAGATTATTATGTGTTATTATCGATTACTTCTGAGGTGGTTATTATCCTTTTTGAGGTATCACACCAAATTTAAATGCTCCTTTTTGTATAATAGAATAGATATATAAGAAAATTAGGGCGTGAAGTACTTATTAATTACTATTATCACCTATCAACTGTTGGATTCGCGTCACGTGGCGATCAGATGCACAATAAGAGAAAAAACCATTGACGTTCATCTCCCCGTTAGCCCTTCTTTCTCCTCGCACGGTCTCCATCCAGTCCTCTGCCAAACCCTCCTCGTGCTGGGGATGGCGGCATTGGCATCGGGCTCGATGGACCGGATATAGAAATAACTTGTGGGTTTTTTGTGTGGAGGGTTTTGGAGGGCAAGCGCCGCGGTGTAAAAGCGGGGACCGGAACGGGGGGATAGCATGAGGGAACAGTACCCCAAGCCTAGAATATTAAAGAGTGTGACGTGAAAGAAAAAAATTATAGATTGATTGTAGTTGTAAAGAGAGATAGATAGAAAGAAAGAAAGAGATGTATATGCCGCACATCATCACTAGTATTATTCAACATACATCTCTCCAAAAGTTTCTTAGGTTGCCAGTACGAGTAAAAAGCATTCTATGTTATGTAGATCATGTATACATTGATTTGTGTATGCTTCACTGTCTAAAGGATCTCACGAAGATTCTACAAGGCTCTTTGAATCAGGTTTGAGCAATTTCAACTCCACTTGCAATTCAAATGATAATGATGATAGCATTATTGATAATGGATTTGTACTAATTCTCCCTCTGCTTTTGACATTCTTAGTTTTTCCTCTTCTGGGTGGGGCGGCCTCGCGCGTGGTTAGTGATAGCAGAAACGTCAAACATAGTGGCTTAAGAGAGCTCTCGGTTTCATCCTGCACTAAGAGCTCCCTTCTATTTAAAGGCTTCAGGAGATTCTTCATCACTTCAACCAAGACAAGATAAAGCCAAAGAATGGCCACCAGAAGCTCCCATCATTGCAGCTCGAGCTTTGTCCTTCTGTTATTGCTCCTCCAGCTTCTTTCGGGTACACACCAACCTTTTCCTTATTCATCGTTTGCGTTTGCGTCGAATGAGTATATTTCCTGGACTTGATCCATTACATCAAGCCGATCACATATTAAAGTGGACTAGATATGTGTGCTTAAACGTAAGCATATGTAATCTGATTGGAGATATCACTCGTTTTTTAGAGATATTGATTGACATATGGTAGATAATAAATTGGATTTTAGGAGGAAGACCCCTAAAGTATCAAATGTTACCAATATTTTCGAGCAATATATTATCTTCTTTTGTGATTCATAGACAGAAAGTTGGGCAATATCTCCATCCAACTATACTTCTGATTGGTGTGTTACAAATTATAGACATCACCCACATGCAAACTTAACTAATTGCGACCCGTCAATCAGAGAACTCGATTGGAGGAAGTTTCCTTTCAACCAGAGATTGGACGAAAACATGACCCTAGAAATTATCGTGTTATTGATGTCCCCAATTTTATTTTTGTTGTCAAAAACATAGTTATTTCCTTTTTAAGGAAGAGGTTTTTTTTAAGAACACTAGGTGGACCGGGCACAAGTCAAAAGATGGTGTTGTTAATGCTCGTGGAGTACTAAAGGAGAATTGCTCATGACCTAACAAACCAATGGAAAAAATAATGCAATGTTATAAAAAAAATAACGATTTTAATCACAAGAAAATGATTAACATTTATGTGTTGCATGCCTATGAAAAAGGTCACTTGTGGATCGATTTTCCGTCCATGAAATGATAAGCCAAATTCCTTCTATTGAAGCAAGTTTTTGCTTTTTTTTTATTTGTATAACACACCAACGAGAATCTCTTTTTTTCTTGCTTCTTTAATAACGTGCTTAGGTCACGGTGAACTCCAGTCGAATTACTATGCCGAGAGCTGTCCGAACGCAGAAGAAATCATCAAACAAGAAGTCGCCAAACTCTACGATGAACATGGCAATACCGCCATCTCCTGGATGCGCAATCTCTTTCATGACTGCATGGTCCAAGTACGTATATCTATACACATGGACACCCACACAAACACTTGTTTACATGCGTATATAGTCCTCAAATTGGTGTTGAAGCATGCTAAATTTTCTATCGTCTTCTGCATATCGAACGAAACTGATGTACGACTCTCTGTCTCTGATCTCTTGTGAATAAATTGCTAGTCCTGCGATGCCTCGCTTCTGCTAGAATCGAAGCACGGGAACGGGATTGTGTCGGAGCAGGCGTCTTCGAGGAGCTTCGGGATGAGAAACTTCAAGTACGTGACCAAAATCAAGGACGCTCTTGAGAACGAATGCCCCACGACGGTCTCTTGCGCCGACATCATCGCTCTCTCGGCGAGAGATGGGGTCGTTCTTGTAAGTATCTCGTTAATGCACTTTTATGCCATTCTTTTTTCTGCACGACTCGTGTGAAATATGAAGTCTGCAAAAGGGAACGAATCTTTTTGGAACTTTCACATGAAAATGATCTCAAAACCGATGCACGTAAGCTTCCCAATTCCCCGACAGAACTCAGGAATCATCTATGTCTGTGAAAGTACCTTGATTTCCATGCAACATATGTGTTTGTATTATATATACATTGGTTTGTACAGTTAGGAGGACCACGCATCGAAATGAGAAGTGGAAGGAAAGATAGCAGAGAAAGTCACGCGAGTGAGGTGGAAGAATTCATTCCTAACCACAACGATTCGATGGCGTTGGTGCTTTCTCGTTTTGAGTCTGTTGGCATCGATGTTGAAGGAACAGTCGCTCTCCTCGGTAAGTGTTTGATATATAGTTCACCAAGTTCATGTGTCTTTGAACATGTCTTGTCCATGTGTGGTTTAATTTAATTGGATCTTGGTATCACAGACGATATTGCTGTTCAGTAATGCAAAGATTACTTCATGCATCATTTGATATATCTCACATGGTGTATATGGGTTAGGGTTTATCCTTAAAAGCTTCATTCCATCTTTATATATTCGTACTTTCTTTCACATAAAACTTCAAACTTTCAGCAATAAAACTTGTCCCTTATATTTTCTTATGCATCTCGTTAATTGGAATTGATTCGCTGATCAGGAGCTCATTCGGTTGGCCGAGTTCATTGCGTCAACCTATACGATAGACTCTACCCTACTGTGGATCCGACCTTGGACCCAGACTACGCCGAATACCTAAAAGGCCGGTGTCCGATGCCGGACCCGAAGCCGGAGAAAGTGCGGTACGCGAGGAACGACAGGGAGACTCCGATGGTGCTGGACAACATGTACTACAAGCACTTGTTGGCTCACAAGGGACTATTGCTGGTAGATCAGCAGTTGGCTTCAGATCCAACAACTGCTCCCTTTGTGGAGAAAATGGCCTCCGACAACGGCTACTTCCAGGACCAGTTTGCGAGGGGCTTGCTCACGTTGTCCGAGAACAATCCTCTTACAGGAGATGATGGAGAAATTAGGAAGGACTGCAGGTATATCAATACAGACTGAAGAGATGTTCGTGGGTGCGTTTCCAAGGATTAAGTCTGAAGGACATGGGTCTTTTCAAGCTTGAGAAGTATTACAAACATACATGTTAAAAGTATGTCTATGTTCCTTTTTTTTCCATTTGCAGAGACGGAACAAATTTCAGTGCATCATAATTTTCTGATATGATTAGTGGTAATATGGTGCAATTGACAATTTGTTGGTCAAGTAACCGACGGCAATTTACCGACAATGTTAGCAATTTAGCGATATTAAATGCAACAGTGAGTTATCGACTTTTTTTAACAAATTTATCATTCAAAACTATATTTTGGTGGTGATCTCGGGAAAGAAAAGAAAAGAAAAGAAAAGAAAGGATTGGACTGGATGGTACTGCTGTTTGGATGCTTATGAAAGAAAAGGAAGGAAATGAAGGGCTTAGGTCAGGTTTTGTAACCCAAACAACATCTACAAGAAAGGTATGAACAAACTTGACTTACGTACTGCAAAGATTTATAAGGAAACACATACATTTGATGAACAATTAACGGGGTCAATGTATATGGAAACGGGCATGATGTGGGCTGAACCAGCCCATAAAAAAAAACTGATGAAGCCTATCCCATCATAAACGAATTTTCAATTTCCATGGAGCAAAGAAACAGTCTTTCGGGGAAAAATCTCAAAAAGGAATCCAATGACCAAAAACATCAGAGAGAAGAGGACTCTCTCTCTCTCTCTCTCTCTCTCTCTCTCTCTCTCTCTCTCTCTCTCTCTCTCATAACATGGCTATATGAATTCGTATATATAAACGCGTAAGAATGTGTTTAGTCGTGTAGTGTCTAGACGTATTTAAACAAATTGAGCTGATACTGATAACATGTTGACCTTGTGTCTAGTCGGGCCATAAACGGATTAAAAAGATCAATTGTATAGGACACAAGAAATAAATCACTTTCAATGTCTCTTGCTTCTTTAGTTAGTTTGTTACTAATTTCACGAGTAAATTGGTATAGGTAATAACAACAATACTAAAAAAAGAAAAAGGCGAAAAAAGTAATCATTCGTGTATAATTAAATTGACCCATTTGTGACACAAACCCATTTAAGCTTAATACGAATGCGCTTAACTACGAGCCGTATGAACGAATCATGTCGAAAGTGCTCGGCCCTGCTTCAAAATCCACAGGGTACGTACATATGTATGTAGAGGTGGCCCTGAGGATTCACTAACCCATTTTTCCACTCATATTTACTGAGTTAGGTTTGAAATGGGTCACTTCTATATTATGAATGAGTTATAATGAGTTGTAAGAATTGACGACCAACCAAAAGTGGATCCAAATGGGATCGACTCGGACCCATCTTTCAGACAGTTACTATTACTCAACCTGGCCAAGTATCCATGCTCACGTTTGGGATCTTTCAACCGAAAGCTCAGCCAACTAGTCCGAGTAAAACTCTGGTGCTCCATATTCTCCTGACTAACCCAAGACTGACGCTGTGTAATAGCCACCAAAAAAAAAAAAAGGATGGTATCTTCTAGGGAAAACGACACAAACGGTCCATGAATTTTAGTCCAATGTGCAATGTCATCCTTAAACTTTTAATTTGTTCAACGTGGTCACTCAACTTTGGTTCAATTTAAATATTTTCATGTAGTCTAAGGATAGCAGTAAACATTTACCAATAATTCATAAATCATATTGAACAAATTAAAATTTTAGGGACGACATTGCACATTGAGCTAAAATGCAAGGATCACATTGTACAAATTAAAAATTCATCGACGAAATTGCATATTGGACCAAAATTCATAAACCATTTTTCTTATTATCCCTAACTTCTACTATTTCCAGAAAAGCTCGCTTCTGATTGTGACACCTAATGGGCAACTTTGGAGATACTGAAGGCTGATTTACAAAATCAAATTCACTAAATACGATACGACGAAATCATATCGGTGGCCGCATATGATCTTTATAGTATTTCTTATTTACTAATTCGTTCGTGTTTAATTTGATTTTAATTCGTTGATGTTTTATAGTTCGTTATATTCTACACTTGAGTTGGAGAATTATTAAGAACGGGAATCCGGATTTATTCTAGGTATGAGTTGCACCGAGTCGGGTCGGCTATAGATCGTTAAACTTGTATTACATGAATACGGATTGAAAGGATCAATTTGAATCGAACTCACTTTCAATTCATCCAAGTCCAATCCGCCCCATCCATTTGATAGGTGTCTGTACATGTAAAACCGAAGAGATGGCAACTCCGGCGCATGTCGACCAACTAGCAGCGGGGTGCCCACAGATCGGCCCGTTACGTGCGGGGGGGGCACCGAGATGCAAACGGCGATCCGGTGGTCCATGGAGGATGCCCCGACAGCCCCTACCGGCAATGATTCACATGACATCAAAGTCGTTTATTGGCCAAAAGTCTCCCTGCTACTCCCACACGCACTTCTAAAAAGGCGTCCTCCCCTATGCTCTCGCCGTGTCCACGCCACCAGCATGGTGATGACGAGGCATACTTATCGTAGGTGACGACCACGTGACATCTTGGAGGGTCAAAATTGTCGAGAGAACAATGACAACCCGAACAATTATCGAATTAGCACAGCGCAACAAAACAATCTCCTCTCTTGTGCAAACCTAATAGGAAACAATATAATAGAGCGATATAGATACCAAGCACCCACAAATACAAGGCAATTTTACGTGGAAAATCTCATAGGTGTGAGGAGATCAAAAATCACGGGATCGAAGTCCACTCAAAATCTTTTTTTTTTTGTCAAAGCACCCAAAAACTTCACTAACAAAGTTCTTCTCTAGTTAATACTGGAAGTACATAGTAGTAGCATCATCAAGAACACCATTCTTGGTAATGCACATGAATTTCACTTGAGATGAAGGATAAATCTCACAAAAAGCACAGGTTGGGTGCAACCTACAAAAAAAACTTGATGTAAGGAGCTTCAAGTGAAAATCAAACCAATCAAATTTGAAAAAAAAATGTGTTACAAGCATGCTGACAAAATTTCAGCTCAATCGGACCACGAATCGACATCCGATGTCACTTGATGAAAACCAGATACTGCTCTCTTTCCCAAATTTTCTGCTATCTCTTACTACGTCTTAACCAACGTTCGTTGCGGCTACTACATAAAAATAGTTAGAAACCTTATTTTTCCATACAGACTATCATATGAGCTCAAGCCTTGGTCCTGCAGTTCATTGGGCTTCCTTAGACCTGTTAAACAAGTGAATTGAATCAGGTTTGGGTCGGGTCATAAACGGTCCCATCCAAATTGACCCATTAACCCATTTATGACATATTTATTTGTAATATAAATATCTCGACCCATACCCGACTCATCCCATACCTAACCCATACTCGACCCGACCTGTATTGCTAAAACACTTCTATATTTAACCCAATCTAGGAAAACTTGTTTTTATGACTTTTTTTTAAAATTATACTGCTAAAACATTTTCATACAATACAAAGCTAGTGAACAATTTTTATAATTTTTTTTAAATTGAAGTTTTTTTTTGTTTCGCAAAAAATGCAATATTTCTAGAAAATATTTTCCATGAAGCCACTATCCAAAAAAATAAAAAAAAATTTCCGGTGTTTAGTTGAAACCTGAAAATGAACTAGAAAATATTTTCCAACATTTGTTATATAAAATCTGATTTTATTTTACTTCGTACATTTATTTTAATAATTTTAATAATTTTAATTTTTTTAAAAATCAAATTTTTAATTTTTAAAAATCAAAATTTTAATTATTTTTTATTTTTCTTTTATTTTCATTTCTTTTTCTTTTTTTTTTTCTTTTTCCTTTATTTTTGGCCAGTGACCAGCCACGGCGATGGCCGGCAATCGGCCACAAGCGAGGACAAGCTCACCGGAGGCCGGGGAAGCTCAAGCTCGCTGCCCTCAGGCGACCGTCGAGCTTGCCCGATTCTATCAAGCCAAGCCTCGCCAGCGTTAGGCGAGGCTCCACCTCACCAGACCTGGCGAAGTTGAGCTCATCCAAGGCCAACAAGCTCGAGTCTCGCCAAATCGGCGAGGCCTCGGGAGAGCTCGACCTCGCCGGATCTAACGAGGCTTGGCTCGCCGAAGGCCGGCGACCTAAGGCCAGTGAGCTCGAGCTTCGCCGGCCTCCGGCAAGGTCATCCCTCCCTCCGGCCATTGACAGAAAATAAAGAAAAAAGAAAGAAAAGAAAAGAAAAGAAAAAGAGAAAAAAATAAAAATAATTATAATTTCAATTGTTCTTAAAAAAAATATTTTTATAAAAAGGGAGAATGGGTGGGTTGGAAATGGTATCTACACTCAACCCATTTAGACTCATTTATGTTAGGCTTAAAACTTTAAGATGGGCTTTTCAAAGTTGTATTGACCCCTATATTTTTTAAATGGGTCATATATGGGTTTAAGACCCGTTTTGACAGGTCTAGGCTTCCTCCACGTCTAATAAAAAATAGAGATAAGTCTTTTCATGAGCAATACTGAATCGTGAAATCAAATATTTCCATTGATGATTGATGCTAACTTCATGGAAAATGTTGAACCGATATCGATAGCGTGGCATAGTTTGACACTTTAGTGCTGACACTACTTCACAAGAAAACAAAGAAACAGAGCATAGGCCTTTTGATGAGTGAATAAGATAAGAAGGGGCAATAATGAAATTAGATATTATCATAGGAGTCCAAAACGTTCTCTACTGAATGTTCGGTCTAAGCCCCACATAGCTCCATGGCAAATCTAGGAAATTGACACGATATTTGATTCTTCTAAGTGAATTTTATTGAGAAAACGGCTCCAAAGTAGGATATTTTAATTGAAGAAAATAAGCCATGAACATTTTCTTTACAATGTAAACAAATCATAAATCTTTATTGGGCGAAATTTAATGTTGTTATGTTGACTGTTCTGTAGAAAAATCTAAGATCGAAATACTTAGAAGAGATTTATTGCTTGATTTCACCAATTAAAAAGACTTTGCACTCGATTAAAAAGCTTTTTTATTAGAACATGAAATCATATGGGAAACCCGATCGACAACGAATTCGTGGTTGATTGTCACCAAGAACCCTCCACAAAGGCAATTTCCCTTTGCGTATCGTCTATTATTTTCCCTCTTGGGGACAGGTTGTTTTGGTGTTTTTTTGGGGCCACGCCTTCTTAGGAAATGAGAACTTGTTAAGCTTTTATATTGAACTTGGATAATGTCGTTAGCTAATGGGAAAAAGCATATGCCTAATATTATCGAAACTTTTAAACTGTTACATCAT